CCCTATCTAACGAAGAATGCAGTTCCACAATCGGAAGATGGCACCGACTGGGGAGTGTTTCAGTCCCTTGTACGTGGCCCCGGTCCGAGCCAGAACAGACTGGATGGCAGCTCACAACCAGGCACTCACACCAACCCTTCTGAAAGCCAGGATAACTTAGAGAAATTCCTGATGAAGACCAAAGACTGCACCCTTTAGGATATCACGTCAACATAACCAAAGGACAGATTTCCACAAGTGGACTACTAAGCAATTTGATTTTAAGTGGAGAAAATACTGAAATTTCTAGGACCTCATTTTACTTGGATTCATGGTCATTCCCTATGGAAGCTGCAGCCCAGATTTTAGATAACACGTTGAATTGGGCGAATCTGCTTTAAAACACCGCTTTAAAATATGTACCCCTGTACCTATCTGTAAACCTATATGGCTATATCCATCCATATATGTTTTCGAACACTTGTTTATGAGTTTTTGTTGCCCTCGCATATAGATATGCCAGAGTCTTTAATGAAGGCATTATTTTCTTTTGAGTGCTTCCCACTGGCGTCATTTATTTTGGACACTTAGTACCTACAAATGTGGTGGGTTAATCAAAAGGTAAGCAGCTCAAAGCCACAGGTGCTCCCAGGGGAGAAAATGAGGCTTCCTCTACAGCAGGTTTACAGTTTGAAAAACACACAGGACCTGTTCTGCTCTGCCCTAAAGGGCACTTATTCGTCGGAATGGACCCTAAAGTACTTTTGTTACAGTGAGGCTGTGTGTTCTTTGCATATTCTTTTGATGGTCATCACATTATTCAGTATTGCTCATAGAATTTTTTAATTTTGGAACTTGAGGGTTAAAGATTTTCTTTAGTTCTTTCAGCTTAAGATATGTCGAGCATGTTCATTTTCGTTTTTTAACTCCAGGTCTTTGCATATGTCAGTAGATTTTTCTGTGCAGCCCAAGGTGCCCTTAGCGATTTTCTGTTTAATTCTTTTCTACCTCATCATTTTTTCCATTTATCTTAGCTATTTTTAGATTAAGAAAATATTTCAGAGTATCTTTTAATATCCACTTTAATCTTTTCTTTCTATTTAATGATATTCTTTCTTTGTGTATGATATTCTTGATATCATAAAACAGCTCATCACATCACCTGTCATTATTGTTCAACGTGCCAAATCTCTTCTTGATATGTTTTCAACAGTCAGATGAGATAGACTCAAAGTTACATTTTGGCTTTTTTGGATTTGTTTTAATTTTCTCCAGCTCCAACCTAAACTTCTATATGAACAATTGATGGTCTGTTCCCCAGTCAGCACCTGGGCTCATTTTAGGTGTTGATATTTATTTAGCTTCTCCATTGTCTCTTCCCACAGGTATCGTCAATTTTATTTCTGTGTATTCCATCTGGAGAAGTTCACATATATTGTCACCACTTGTGTTGTTGAAAAAATTCATTTGTGATGAACAAATCACTGGTATTGTAAAATTCTATCATGCCATCTCTAACTTTTGTTCTATCACCAACTATTATTTCTTCCTCTTTGTTTTCAAGTTTTGCATCCCAATCGCTAATAATTTTAAAGCATCTTGATGGAATGTTTGATAAATTTCAGGCAGATATTGGTAAAATTCTTCAGTATCTTCATCACTAGCTTTAATGATTGGTGCTGACATACAGATTGAATACATTTGAATAATAGTTGAATTGGAAAAAAATGAAAAAAGGTGAATAATAATTGAATGGTTGAATTGACTGGAGTTGCTTGCATGAATGTGAATAAATATTGCTTTCTGACAGACAGCACTGTACTTCAAGATAGATTTTGACATGTCCTTTTTGACGATGGGTGCAACACCATTCATCCTGAATGCCATTCTCTGTACAGAATACCGTGTGACTGCTTCACTTAAAATGGGCACTACTAGTCCATTATAGCTCATTAACAACTAGACTATTGATTTCATTCATTTTGGGCAACTTCCAATTTTCCTAGATTACATTTCATTTTTTATGACTTCCATTTTTCCTAGATTTACAGGTTTTACCTGTATATTATTGGTGTTAGGTTGTGTCGATACACTTCTGACTAATAGTGACCCTATGTTCAATATAAGAAAACATTACCCAATCTTCTACCATCCTCACAAATGGTATGTTTGAACCTAACCTGCTGTTGTAGCCACTGTGTCAGTCCATCTTGTTTATGGTGTCCCTCTTTTCTTGCTACTGCTCCACTCTACCCAGTGTGATATTCATCTCTCCTGATAACATGCCCAAAACACGTGATACAAAGTCTAACCATCCTTGCCTCTAAGGAATGAGTATTCTATACTTCCTCTAAGACAAATCTGTTCATTCTTTTGGCAGTTCATGGTACTATTAATATTTTACCCAACACCATAGTTAAAATGCATCAATTTTTCCTCAACCTTCCTTATTCAACATCCAATATTCATATGCATATGACGATATTGAAAATACCTTGGCTGAGTCACATGCACCTTAGTCCTTAAAGTAACGTCTTGCTTTTCAACAGTTTACGGAGGTCGCATGTGGCAGATGTACCCAATGCAATTCGCCTTTTGACTACTCCTTCCATGAGCATTGATTGTGGATCCAAACAAGAGCAAATCCTTGACAACTTCAGTCTTTTCTCTATTTGCCATGATGGTCCATGTGTGAGGATTTTGGTCTTCTTTATACTGAGTTGTAATCCATACTGAAAGCTTCAATTCTTAATCTTCACCAGGAAGTGCTTCAAGTCCTCTTCAATTTAAGCAAACAAGGTCGTGTCATCTTTGTATCACTGGTTGATAATAAAACACCCTCATACCACATTCTTCTTTATATAAGCCAGCTTCTCCGATGATTTGCTCAGCACACAGATTGCATAAGTATGGTGATAGAATACAATCCTGATGCACATCTGTTCTGATTTTAAGCCATGCATTATTAATTTGTTTGGTCAGAACAACTGCCTTTGATCCATGTGCAGGTTACCCAGAAATAAAATGAAATGTTCTGAATTCCCATTCTTCTCAAGGCTTTTAATAGTTTGTTATAATCCACGTAGTTGAGTGTGTTCACACAATCAATGAGACACAAGTAGACATCTTTTGTTATTCTCTGCCTTCAAGCAAGATCCATCTGACATCAGCCATAATATTTCTTGTCCCAGGTTCTCTTCTGAATATGACCAGAATCTCCCATAGGTCTTTTCCAATGTACTACTGCAACTGGTGTTGAATGATCATCAGCAAAATGTTATTTTTATGTGATATCAATGATATTGTCCTACAATTTTAGCATTCTTTTGGGCACTTTTCTTTGTAGCGGGCAGTTGACCAAGTAACTCTCTTCCAAATTTCCAGGCATGGACGTGTGCGTGCTTCCAGTGCTTCTCAAGCTTGTTGAAGCATTTCGATGAGTATCCCATCAATTCCTGGAGCCCTCATTTTGACTGATGCTTTCAGAGCAGCTGAGACTTCTGCCTTCAGTACCACAAGCGGGTTGTTAAGGAATCTTCATCCAATCTTGATGCCACATTGTTCTTTACATATTTCAATTTCTCAGATTATTTTCTGACACAAAAATGGAATGAAAATGGTGAAAGATATGACTTTGTGTACACCTTTCCTCACTTTAATCCATACACTGTCCCCTTATTCTATTCAAGTGAATTTGAGTCTATGTACAGGTTGCTGATTAATATGATTAAGTGTGCTGGAATTCTCATTCTCATTGTTTCCCATAATTTTCTATTACCCACATAGTTAAATAGCCTCTCATGGGGAATAAAACTCAGGTAATTATATTTCTGGTATTGTTTTCAACTAAGATCTATCTTATATCTATAACAGTCACAGTTCCACATTTTCTTCTAAATCCCAATGTTAGGAGCTCCATGTTGATACACTGCTGCAACTATGTTTGACATTTCAGTATAATTTTATTTTCATGTTATATTAATGACATTGCTAATTGATCTCCACATTGATTGAAATGGGCACACATATGCATGACTTCCATTCAGTTGGTCAATTAACTGTCTCCCGACATTTTTGTCAAAGAAGAGTGAATGCTTACAAAATTGGACTTATTTCTAAAAACTACTTTGTTGATGACCTTGTTTTTAACCAATTCTTTGCATGCATCTTGAATTTTTCTTTCATTGCCATCAGCTTTTGGTCATATACCACGTTCAGAAATATTGATGACGAATGTTGGACAATTATCATTAGGATGATGACTATTGCTAGTCATAATTATGATGCTTCCTGTGTTAGTTAATATTTACCCCATAGGTTACTTTAATATTATAACTCAAGGCTTTTAATTTTTCTTCAGTTATTTCAACCTGAGAAATATAAAGCATATTCACTTGCTTGTTATGTAAGTCTAGTATTTTGTCCATTTCATTAAACATGGACACGAACTAAACTTCAAATTCACGGCCATTAAGTTATTCCCACTCACAGTGACTGTATATTAGGTTTCCAAGACTGTCATCTTTATTCTAGTCATGTTTTCAAATAGTTAACAGCTAAAGAGCAATAAATTTATTGAAGATCATTGAAGCCATTTAATTTGTAGAAAATGTTACATTTGTAAGAATTATGGTACACAAAGGAATAAAAATCTCAGAATATACAGTAACACAAGATGTTATGCCATTATATAATACTAAATTTAACAAAAACATCAAGATAAAGTGGGAGAGGGAGGTGGGAGGAAGTAACAGTGTATATAGTAATTACATTATTTTTTAATGTTATGAAAATAATCTTGTAAAGAACTAAAAGGAATCTGTATGCTTTACAGATGGTAAAACACATCCACGTACATATACAAAGCAAAATAAAGAAACTATAGATAATGTAGCCAGGGGAGCAAAGAGAATATCAATAGTAGTTTTTTTTTATGATTTCCTCTGCTATAAAAATATGTCCATATAATTTTTATATCAACATAGAGGCACTATGAATGGGCACTAACTATTTTTTTTAAACAGGGGAGAACGTGAGCATAGTCCCCCACTACCACAAATTATGCAGTCGAGTTTCCCACATTTGGGGAAATCGCAGGGGTCAGCACACTCGCAGTGCAATGGACAAGCCTCGCCCTGGGAAAACCATCTGTGTGATCATGGTATCTTACCTGCCCTGCCAGGTAAGTCTGAGTGGGAACTAGCTTAATGGCGGTGAATTTTGTTCTATTTTTTGGTCTTCTAAGACATTATATAAGATAATTGCCATCTATAAACTGTACTTTACATCATTATTTTTGTCAATAATTTTTTAATTTACTAATTTCACATTTTTCTTTTTTAACTAAAAGAATGATCAAGTGAAAGTCTCAAAAGGCAAAAAAATCCATATTTTTGTTTCTCATATTATTACTAATTTATTTGGCAGATTTATATATAAACACAAACCAGAAAATGCTTTATATTTTGAGCACCATATTAATAAGAGTATAAATCTGAATAGGAATCTTCTTGAATACATCTCTATACTTTTTAAAGAACAAAATTAAAATCTTAGTTATTTGTCTTTTGTTACTTACGAATAAACCTTTCCAAATCACCTTTGATTTTTTAACCTAATTTTTAGAAAATCTAGATGAATAAGCAGGATTCTAAACATCATAAATCAATTAAACATCATATAATCTCCCCAGAGTCATCTTCTAATATTACCATCTGTTGTCACTAAAGAAGTAGTGAAAAACTTTACCCAGAAGAAGTTCTATCATCCCAAGAGATGAGAGCAGAATAAGCAGTGCACGAGGTCAATTCACTGTAATTAGGGAAATTAGCAGGGAAGACCGACTACATACTGATTTAGGATAGTCTAAGTCCTCAAGGAGAGTTGGGTCAATATTTATTACAAGAGTAGCTAAATGAGCTTACCACAAGGACTGAGGTAATCATCAGCATATGGTACACTTACTGAAGTTTGCTTGCCTGGTGTTTCAATGATGAAGATGTATGGTGAAACAAAAGCTACTCCATGTTAACATTAATGTATATAAGGTATTTCTTTTGTCTTACAAGAAACAATAGATGATGAAATTAGATTACAATCAGTCTAAATTAATCCAATTTAAGAAAATGACACTTAAAATAAGGATAAGAGCATATACTGGCATAAGAGAAATATACACTGAATTAAAACCCAGTTAAATATATATGGAAAACATTATAAGGGAATTTTCCCACTGCCAATTTCCCATAAAATACCAGATCTCTGGTTCTCAATGTGTTTACTTGAAAAACAATTCAAACTGGCACTTAGAGATATAATATCTTCTTCAAATACCTGAAGTCAATGTGTATCAAGTCCAGTATTAAAACTGAACATACACTACGACCCAGCTGCCACGCTGACCTCTTCTAGCTACACAAGGCAGATTTCCATGTCAGAGAGGTCAGCTCTGCGGTCATCCTTCAGCCTGCTTTATCTTATTTTAATACCAACAGTTCGTTCATAGCACTCTACCTCTCTGCTTGATAATCTCTTCCAATTCACTACACGGTACTCACAGACAATAGTCACAATTATGAGGTTTGTTAGGAATACTACAGGTTACTCCGAAAGGTCAGGTTATGATAAATCCTTACAACTGGACCAAGAGCTAACATCATGATTGAAGTTGTCAAGGATTTTGTCTTGCTTTGATCCATAAGCAATGCTCATGGAAGCAGCCATAAAGAGAAAAAAGTCACACTGGTAAATTTATAGATTGCATTGGGTCTATCTACTGAACAAGACCTCTTTGGAATGTTGAAATCAAGGATTTTACGGAGGTTTAAGGTGAACCTGACATAAGCCATGGTATTTTCAATTGCCTCATATGTGTGTGAATGTTGGACATTGAATAAGTAAGGCCAAAGATGAATTGATGTGTTTGAATTGTAGTACTGGTGAAGAATATTAAAAATACCATGGACTGCCAAAATGACAAATCTATTTTAGAAGAAGTCCAGCCAGAGTGATTCTTAGAGGCAAGGATGGTGAGAATTCATGTTACATATATTCATTCTGTTGTACGTAGAGTTGCGAAAAACAACATAAATCAGGATCAGAAAATAGTAAGGAAACTATTCTCTCATCCTCAGTGCCTTTTCTCCACCATGCCAACAGGCACATCTCTCTCTGATCTTTAGTATCTCAGCCACATGGTCCCTTGTCCTCCGGCTTACTCAGGCAAGTGAATGTTACAAATCTACTTTAGGGCTGATAAAGACCCAAAGGGAACCCCATGCCACAAACCAGTCTCTCAGCAGATGGCACCCTGCTTTGCTTGTACCACATCTGGAAAGCTCTTGGCCTTGCTGTGATGGTATCTGTGCCTCTGTTGCAGCCACCGCCATTTCTCTGTGCAGGTATCTTGAATGTGGACTCCTCGGAACTCTGTCCTGATGGTGCTGAGGCTCTCCCTGCTTTTGAGATTGCTCACATTATACCCAATGAAATGACAAAACTGACAAAAATAGACTAGAATTTGGAGATGAATATAAGAAAAGAGCTGCGGTGGTATAGCAGTTATGTACTGGGCTGTGATCCCGATGGTCAATAGTTTGAAACCACTCCATGGGTAAAAAACTGGGTTTTCTACTCCCAGAAACAGTTATATTCTCAGAAACCCACATTGGGTCGCTATGAGTCAGCATTAACTGGAAGGCAATAAGTTTGGTGTGGTACCTTTTTTAAACAAATCAAATATTTTGTTTATGATCTTTTTCTATATTTTATTAAAATATTAATTCTTACTTATCAAGTACCTTGTTATCCAACATTTTGCATTTACAAAACATAGTAAAAAATATTATATAACTATTTTGCAACTAGGAACACTGAGGTGTGAAGCAAGAGTAATGATGGCTGTGATGATTAAGGTTATGTATCATTTTGACAGGGCCATGGTTCTCAGTGTTTTGGTAGATATATTATGGTGTAATTTAATTAATTATGTGTTTTGGAAGTTATGTAATTATTTAGCTTAGCAATTATGCAAAAAAATAGACATTTTCTGTTTTTTACTCACTAATTCTGGCAAACTGATTCTGTCTCTCATTTTAAAACCTTGGATTAGAACCAGTTTGTGAGATGTACCAGTTGCTTCCTATGTTTTAGTTGGCTTTACATCATCTGAAGAAAATAGTTAAAGCTCAGTGCACCTTCATTCCAAATTATGATACGATTTGAAGTCTACTAAAAATTTTATCTTTTCCCCCATTCTCTCTTCATGAGAAAAAATTGAAAAAAAACTTCTTTTGGAAAAGTGATATTCCATTTGCTAACTAATCCAAGAAATTGAGACTTGGATATTTTTCGGTATTTCATATAATTTGAAAAGTATATTTAAAGCAGCTTTTATTTTTGAGAGAGTTACTTTTAGGAACATTCCTTTTTTAATATTTGTATTCCAATTGCTACTTTTATATGAGAAGTAAAAGCATAATTGCAATTGCCTATACTTTCGGGCAATCCAGTCTTAAACATGTCTTGTTTACTAGAGCCAGTTCTATGCTTGGGGGAGGATCACCTCCATTACCCTTTAACTCTTTCACTTTTGATAACTTTGATATGATTCCAACACTGTCAAATTATAGAGTTTAGTCTCATTCATGAAAGACAGAGAAAAATGACTTCTTAGTTTACCTATGATACTTATTTTAAAATGGCAATGTGTGTCATGGGAGGGAACTAAAAAATAAATCCCAAATAATATTAACTTTTGTTTTTCAGACAGTTGTAGATTTCTGAAAGTTTTAATTCTTTTAATAAAATGTGTTTTCAGCTGTTCTTTTATAAAACTTCCATAGCTTTTATAAAACTTGCACAGCTGTCTGGAAAATATTAAATTCATGTTCAGTCTTCGTGCCATATTCTACCTGCAGTCTTTTAAAAAAATAAAACATATAACCTCCTCCTTGGGGGATGGACAACCAACAGAAAAGTGGGTGACGGGAGATGTCAGACAGTATAAGATATGACAAAATAATACTTTATAAATTATCAAGGGTTCATGAGCGAGGGGGAAATGAGGAGGGAGGGAGAAAAATGAGGAGTTGATGCCAGGGCCTTACATAGAGAGCAAATGTTTTGAGAATGATGAGGGTAACGAATGTACAAATGTGCTTTATACAACTGATGTATGTATGGATTGTGATAAAGAGTTGTATGAGCCCCCAATAAAATGATTTATTAAAAAACAAAAACAATTTATATTATTATATTTATTTTCTAATTGTAAACCAGAAAGATAATAAATTTAAGAGAATTTGAAGGTTTATTATGGAGACAGTATTTTCAAACTAGCTTCCATGAGAGTAGAATTTTATTGTTCTAATATAATCCCATTAGCTTCCTACCAAGTAGCTAACTATTATGCAGTTAACTATTTCTTCTATGATAGTGTATATCATGCTTATGCTTTTATTTGCTTTGATTTTATATCATTAACAAAATATTATTTTTGAATTTTACCTTTATCACTCATTACTTTTGTATACAAAAGATATAAGCAAAACTACACACACATAGATGCCTAGTTATTACTAGTCAGTAGATTATGGCACATTTGTGCATATTATGACTATAAGTAATCATGCATACTACATTAATGCAGGATGTATCTATTACATGTAAACATTTTATTAATAAAATCAAAACTGCCTGTGAAAAAATAATTATGTTAAAATTTGATGGTCTTTGCACACTTTAGTCAATATATTTCTGCTACCAAAATCAATGGTAATGAATTATTTCTTTAAAATCCATGGAGAGGTAATTTGGCTACCTTTTTATTTTATTTTAATCCATAATTACACAAATTATAAAAACATGTATGTCCTTATTCTGAACATATTTGAAGCAAATTAACTGATTTTCACCCATACATTTTGAACTGATATTCTTTAATCTGTGAGAAACATTGAAAAATACCCAGAATTTTCACGTACTCAAACAATAAATGGTAGACTGAAAGATTCATTGCCTTGTTTTGTGCCACAATTATGTCCTTGGTTTCACTTTCATATTATTTTCATTGAATTTTATGATTGTCATTCCTTTTGAACTACTAGATTCTCATCTCAGCAGGTTACATATCAGGCTGCTAACCACAAGATCAGCAGTTCAAACCCACAGGCTGTTCCACAGGAGAAAGA